GAAATGATTTCACATGATTGACTGAATTGCATTATTGCTGTCACACACAGCAAATATATCCTAGGCTTGAAAAGGCTCATGACATCATAATTCAAAACAAATGGGCCGGAGCCAAACATGCAAACAGTTGACAAATTAAAGGAAAACTTTTGTTAGTAAGGTGTTTGTGCATCATGTGCTTCCAAAGCAGCTTCAGTTTTTCATAGTTTCTATATTAAACCCATAGCATATACTTATCAGCTATTCAGTGACCCTCTTCAGACCACTCCTATTAGAAGTGTATCACCCCAGAATAAAAGTCATAACAGCTTTGTATTGTTTTGCAGTGATTTTTCTCATTGACAAAAGGACCCAAACAAAGGCAGAAAAGTACCACAGTGCAACAGAATCACTGGATTCCTCCTCAGAGAAGGGATCAAGGGTTCATATTATTCCTTTAATTTCTTCCTTGTTATAAATAAAACTAAAAAATAAACCTTGCTTACATTTTACTATATTTTTTAAAGGAAAGTAGCCAAATTTAAAGAAGTTCTACATGGACGGAAGATCATCAGTTCTCAGGATTTCAGCTTTCTTCAGAAAAAGGGGCCTTCTCATCTCTTTTTGTCTACAAACTAAATGTTGGTTGATGTAGACACGCAGGTACTCCTCCACCACATCAACATCCTGTATCAGGATAGACAGAGATCTTTTAGCTGTCCTCGTCCTTCTGAAGTTGATTCCTGTCTCTCTGACCTTATCCACATTCAGAAGTAGATGCTTTCTCCCAGAGCACTCCACAAAATTATCCACTAGTGCTCTGTACTTTAGTTGTGTACTTTAGCAAAGCTAAAAACATATTCATGAATTTAGAAAATGACATCTTTCTGTTGAACCCAAATGATGAAATAGATAATCTTTGCACAAAAATATCACCCAGTGTCTATCTAGTCATAAAATGGGCAAAAGTCAAGAGAGTAAAGTCTACACACACTGCAACCAAATAATATGATATTTTTTTCTTTCAGATGTTAGTGTTTACTCATCTGGATTCTGTCTATAAAACACTGTGACGCTAAAGTACAGAAGTACAGAAGTACAGTAGTACCAAACCATTCTGAAGTTTAATCTTTATTGAAAACTGTCAAAACACAAAAATGTTCCCAAGACTGAAATATTTAAATGTATTTATTTAAACACAAACTTCATATCATTGGTTTCCAGTAGCCTTTAATCCTGTCAATGAATTATTTTCAGTGACAAGGAGAACAAAATAAATCGTGAAATTAAAAAGCAAACAAATTAAAATCTCCACTTTTTATCTTAAAGCAAATGTTTTTAGTTAAGAAAGGTAAAAATAATTTCAAACATTAAAAATAACAAAAATAAAATGTTAATGCAGAGAATTGTGACTGAAGCACATCAGTCCCAATTCTAATGACTAATCAGTCTGCTGTCATTGTGGAGGAAAGGTGTGTTATATAAGTGTTACAAACACATTACAAACACAACACACAGTGTTCCACTCCTGTAAAGGTGGAAGGGGCCATTCCCCCCCCCAAGCTTGTGTTTATCTTCATCTTCAGGCTACAGAGCTGCACATTTTTCTTCCACAGTGGTGACATTAACACAAAATCTCTCCCAACAGACATATAAACACATTCCAACTGTTATTTGTGAAAAAAACTTGCTGCACTAGATTTATACTGGATCATTTTTGCCACAATGTCATACACAAACAAAAAGACTCAAAAATTTAAAATTAATACCAACCTCACTCTTGCAGCTGATAATTATCTCAATTTATTTCAGTTTGCAGAATTCAACACTTGTTTCAAACACAAACCATCCACTAAGATAAACTCCAGCATAGAGCGGCTGAGTGAATGTGGTCTGGACTCTGTGGAGGAGAGTCATGGTTTCAGAGACGCTGTAGAAGGACAAAATACCTGCTCTGTGATCCAGGTACACTCCTACTCTGGAGGAACGAGGACCTGAGACACGAGTTTGGATGTTGTTGTACCAAAATGTATAACTA